AGAGGTAGCTAAATTTGAATTATGAAAACGAGAGGCATGCTTAATTTGACTGGTAGCGTTATTATTATTATTATTATTATTATTATTATTATTATTATTATTATTATTCAAGTAAACCGGAAGTAATATCGTCAGAAGATTGCTTTTTATTTCCGGTCTATGCAACTTTTTTAATTGTTGTAGATTAAACGTAAAAACGAACTGGGAGCTGTAACACACGCATTTGTTCCTACCGATGATATTTATGACGTTTTCAACAAATTAATGGAGTCCCTTCATGAAGAAACAGATGATATTTTAGGAGTTTTTTAGAAATATTTTGAAGTTACATGGTTAGGTATCTGTGGTAAGACAACTCGATTACCTCCCCTGTCTTATAATTTGTATAAAGAAGTCACGCCGTCTTAGTCCCAAACGGCACGACTCTTCAGTTACGTTCAATAAAGACACATAAAGCTGAATTAGACTCCGAGTTTTTATTAAAATTTATTGAAATTATGGACAAATACCTTAAACCAGAACGTCTCGACTTGGACTCTGCAGACCCGTTTTCTAATGGCGCTTCGCAATATAGGAAACGATTATTCGAAGGATTCTTACTTGCACTGCAAAACAGTTCATCCACTCCTATTACTGATACGGATAGACTTAACCTGATAATACACCATGTTTCCATATCTGTATATACTAATATTTCTCACTGCAAAACTTACTAGAATGCCAGAGACGTTTTGAATGGAATTTTTGTGAAGTGATGAAACATAATCTTTGCCTGCCATGTATTAGTATCAACCCGCTGTAGAGCTTATAAAAACTTAAGTCGGGGCTACGATTTTCAAGCGACGACAGCAGATCAGGCAAAGGACGAATTTGTCAGATTCCTTTATAAATTGATTAGAGACGAACTATATCCGTCAAAAGTTACTGGAAAATAAACAACTAGATTTAGCTCGCGAGCAGGCACTTAGAGATGGCAGAAAATCTTGTTCATACCAACAAACAAGTGTTGCAGAGGCTGTCTTAAGTACTCACACTCCGACTAGTCCACCAGTACAGATGACCCAAAGTCGAGACAAATATTATTTCGTTCTCGTTTTTCTTAAACCTTCCTCGTTACTCACATGCTCAGTCAATGGTATGCAATGTCAGACGTCATCGTCTGTTTCCTTGAATCCTGTTTTAATTGTCCACTCTGCTTCTTTCGCTCTCAGTAACCCTTTGCGTCTTAGTGGCTTTTATCGTCATACTAGGGGTGAAATAAAGGAAAAAAGTTTAGTGTTTAATGTTGAGTGGTTGAGGAAAGAGGTAAAAAAATATGGACTGACAATCGGCAACCCCGCTACCTAAATTGGTTACATCATAACAAAGTCGACCAATGATTTTGCTGGTCTACTCCTTCTCTCCAGTTTCAAAAATCACCATAGCAATCAATCATGTGGATAAGATAGGAATTCCTTCCACATTCTTCAAGATTATCACCAGTCACGCTCAATGCATCACTCGATGTTTGCTCAGGTAGTTTAGATGATGTAATGAATATGCATACACCTGGGTTCCCCCTCACAGTAATATGATTGGCTGGTGTCAGCCATAAATACAGACTGATGTGGAGGTACAAGGACGCGCCTATTTGACGACGCCTATAGGCCTATGCCTATTGCCTACGCCTATTGCCTACCACTACGACGAGGACCAGTCCATTAGGGTTACTTGCTAGATTGTCCTACTCGATTACAGCAGTCCAAAACCACTTTGCTACTTCGAACAAATATATCCCTTTCCGGGACATATCATAAGACAAGTTGAATATTTTGGAAACTTCCTCGAAAAATTCCTAGAATCAAAATCAGAATCGTTCTTTTATGAAGGAATACACAGTTATGCCGTAAACTGGCATAAAATCATAGAAAAGTTGGGGAAAAAACCTTGACGACTGAATAATAATGCTACGAATTTATATGAATAAGAAATGGACAATACTGCTGGAATTTTATGCATCATCTAACTTCCCCCTCTGAAGCAAATTTAGACGGTGTAGAGGTCATTATTATTATTATTATTATTATTCGGACCATCATTTCTTTTCATCCGTTCACCTCAGGGAAGGCGATAGTGCCACTAAGACGCAAGAGGGCTATTAGGTGTGAAAGAGAATAAAAAAGTATTTGGAAGGAACCGAAAACCCAATCCTAAACAGTAAACAAGAGATAAACCTCGACACCTGTTCAAAAGAATGGGAAGGACTGTGAACCGGGCGATAGGCTAACCTATACCCGCTTTGCTTCTTAAACTGACAACGTTTTGATCGTTGTATCCTCCGGCCTCTTGGCGTCGTACTCGGATTTTGTACCGTACTTTTTGTTCAGTCCATAGAAGTTGATTCCGTTTTCTATGTTTAGGGAATATTTCATATCAGTTAATACTCACACGTCTTATTCACCGCTGTGTGGCATGTCATTTACTTCCACTGAACCAGAATATATAGCTTCTCAGCACTATCAGATCCGGGGATTGAACTCACAACAGCCTGGGGACCAGATATACTTTAACCAACGCCTTAATCCCCATAGGTCTTATATATCTATACAGAGGTCACTGTAAGCTTAATTTGAATCGACAAGTACCGCTTCTACACACGGGCACACATGGAGAGTAGACGATTTTACAGATTAAATTGCCTTTCATTGCAGAGGGATTTAATGCTCAATTCCCTGCACAAGGAGCAGAGGATACCCTATCTCCACAAAGTATTGAGTACTTGCAGCAAAAATCCATGCATTAGGCTACTTTTAATAATAAGCAAAAATTTCTAAAAGTACTTCTGACATTAATAGAAATGCACTAGTTGAACAAGCCACAAATTTATACGATTTTTAAAAGCTCTATTTAATAAATAGAAAGAAACGTTAATTAAACTGACACAGAAGATACAAAAATCCCGTTTAGACGGTTTCAAAGGGTATATTTTTGGCCGAGCCCACGGGCTCGGAAATCTCTCACGTTAAACCGGCCTTGTGCCACATGATGCCCTCGTGGGAGGGTGACTAAATACCGAAGATACAAAAATCTATGACAAGTAGACCTCAAACTCTAACCGACACACACACACACACACACACACACACACACACACACACACACACACACACACACACACACACACACACAAACAAAACACCCATAACATTCCTCTCTTCTATGTGTGCCATGTCCTTTCATGACGTAAGCGATCATGGCTCTCCGCAAATTCCTGCCCTGTCCTTAATAAATTTTCATTTTTTGTTATCTCTCCTAAACCTGTTCCTGCCATTCATTTAAGTAGGTTATGCGTTGTTTTCCTCTGTCCCCTCTTGCTTTAAGACTGTGCTGTGAGTATCAAATTTTCCAAACCCTCTTTCCTTATTATGTGTCATAGAAATTTTAACTGTCTCTTTCTGGTAAGTATAAGTTTCCTTTTTGTTTCCATTTTCTCTAAGTCTTCATCGTTGTGCGATTCATTTTATCCTCAGCATCCTTCTGTAGAAACACATTTATGTTGCTTCAAGTCTCTTCTTCATCTTAGAAGGGATTGATATTGATAATAGTTCATTACTCTTTTTATTGTTTCTAACGATTGTTTTTCTGTTTCTTAATACTCTGTTTAGCTTTTGGAAGGCATCTTCGGCTATACCAATTCGCCTTCGGATTTCCGTGTCACACTTTTCGTCCTTTGTTGAAACACTTCCCAGATATTTAAATTTTTCTATTTGTTTGATTTTTCTATCTCCAATCTGTAATTTGCATGTTGGGGCTCATCCTTTTACTAACAACCATGCATTCTGTCTTCTTGATGTTTAATCTTTTCATCTCGCTTTCTTTCACTACCTACTGTAGGAGTTTTTGTAGTTTTCGTTCCGTATCGGCTATCATCACTGTGTCGTCTGCATATGTTAAGGTGTTAAGATTGTGTCCTTCAGTAGTATTTCTAATTTTCTCAGAATTGTATAGGTTGAATAAATCCGGTGAGAAGACACATCCTTGTCTTACACCCTTTTCTATTTTCGTATATTTACTGAACTTATTTTCTATCTGTATGCAGGAGGTAGCTGCCAGTATAGGTTCTTGATTATTCTAATTACCGTCCAAAATATGCCAAGGTTATTAAACACCTCCAACAGTCCTTTGTGATGTACTTTATCAAACTCTTTTACATAATCTATAAAGCACCGGTACATGTTCTTCTGCTTTTCTATTGCACTTTTCTGGTATCATTTTAAGCATAAATACCTCGTTCCTTATTCTAATGTCTTTAACGAACCCTCACTGTTCTTGTCTTATTTCCGGTCTGATTCTGCTAGGTCGACCAAAACTGCCAGAACGACATACTCGTGAATAGGTTTCCTGTTTCAGCTAAATAAACCGCTTGCCACGGATCCTGTTGCAGCTGATGGAAATGAAGATCGACTCAGTACGATTTGTGCCTGTTACTTCGATGGAGAGAGAAAAAAAAAAGTAGCCTTGACTTACACTCACAGACAAGCAACTATTCAAAGTATTCTGTTTAGGCACATACCATTTGCTGCTTGTTAGACAGGGACGGGCAGCGTCGGCATAGGATACGTATGAGAACGTTGTCACTGCTCTTGTATATAGATCAGATATACAACGCTAGGCGTGTTACATGTGAAGGGGGAAATGCCTTTCACTGGACGAACCTTGTTGTTTTCTCTCCATCTTCCCCTTTTCTTCTTTTTTCTCTTTCTTTTTCTTTCTTTCTTTTAATTGTTTTATTTTGGTAGTTAAGTTGTTTTGTACACTGGGCCACTGTCCGCACAGAAATAAGAACGGGAGGTAGATACTATCGAGTTGTTATTTACTAAAATCAGGAAATGTTTGGTTGAAAAAGTGGTGAACCGTTATTTTAAGCTATTTGACATTTATGGAATTTAAATGGCTTCTGTGTTCTCTAAATCCGTGTGATGTGAAATTCTCAGCTAATTTTTGTTGGTGATCAGATATTATTACGAGGAAAGTGAAACGTAGTACATAAGTGGAACGTGAAAGGCAGATAGCGAGAGAAAGAGTAAGAGAGAGTGTGCATGTGTGTAGGTAAGGGAGAACGAACACAGAAAGGGAAGTAGGAAAAGTGTGTGAAAGAGAGAAAAAAGAAAGGAGAAAGAAAAAAGAAAGAAAGAGAGAAGAAAGAAAGAGAAAAGAAAGAAAGAGAAAAGAAAGGAGAAAGAAAGAGAAAAGAAAGAAGAAAGAAAGAAAAAGAAAGAGAAAAGAAAGACGAAAGGAAGGAGACGAAAAAGAAAGAAAGAAGAAAGAAAAGAAAGAAAAAAGAAAGAAGGAAAAAAAAGAAAGTCAAATGAAAGAATAAATAAAAAGAAAGAAAAAGAAGGAGGAAAGAAAGAAGAAATAAAGAGAAAAGAAAGACGAAAGAAAAAAGAAAAAGAAGAAAGAAAAAAGAAAGAAAAAGAACAAATAAAAAGAAAGAAAGAAGAAAGAAAGAAGAAAAAAGAAAGAAAGAAAAAGAAAGAAAAAATAGCAGCCATTTTTAAAAAATGAAAATGTTGATGAAAACAAAGAAGAATATAATAAAAGGCTGTGAAAAAAAGAAAAAAAGAGAACGAGTTGAAATTAAAAAAAAAACCAATGGAGGATTGAAAAATGACTGAATAAATGGTAGGTGATAAATAAAAGAAAAGGAATTTTTCAAAAATGGCGCGAGTGAAAAGAAAGAAAGAAAGAAAGAAAGAAAGAAAGAAAGAAAGAAAGAAAGAAAGAAGGGCAAAAAGTGAGAAAATATAAAGAAAGAGATAAATTGAAGAAAGGCTAAAAGAAAGAGCAAGGAAGATTGAAAAGAAGATGAAGGAAGAGAACGTGAGCGATCGAAATCGAAAGTGTGAGAGAAAATTCAAGGAAAAAATAAACAGTTATCCTCAGAGTGAAAGAAACGGGCAGATTTCAAATGAAATTGAATATAATCAAAATCTCTTCATTAAAATAATAAAAACCATGTACTCTTAGACTGATCACATTGAAGAAACACTTTATAGACGTACGATTAAATATTTGCGGAATAAAAATGAAGCCATTATGACAGCATACTGAGAGTGGAATGAACTGTTGTGTTGTGCTAAAATGGCACGCGCCTTGATTCTAATTACAACCAGCAGAGGTCCTCGGTATGACACCCAATAAGGAGTAGGTGGCATGCGGTGAGGCGTTGATATGGCTTATCGCACACTGGTGACATGGCTCCAGACACACGAAGCTAAAGAAAATAAAATTCGCATTGAATTTGGGAGACAAGGCACACACTTTTAATTTGTAGTGTTGAATAAGTATTTTATTGATAAATTTAGTTTGGCATCACCAATTACGTTTGTGTCAAATTTGTAATGAACTTTGAATTGGAGGCATCGGATGAAGTAGGTATAGAAATTTAACGGTAGGCTGAGGGGGTGAAACTTTGAACTTGTTTTTTACAATATGAAATTTACATCCCCACAAACTTGTCAAAAAAAAAAAAAAATGAAAGGAAAAAAAGAAAGCATATAAATTGATGTAAATCACAAATTTTTATATTCCTGAAATTTTTGATTTCTTTTGCAAAAATTATTTACACTATTTACATTGTTCATACTCTTGCCTTCGTTGCTATATTCACGACGTTTCGGCCATTGTACATTCCGGCCCTCTTCATGTAGATTGTTCAATTTCTATGTGTCATGCCTCTTCCGGGTTTCTCAGTTTCAGTTATCCCCCTTTAAGTCAACTCTCTAAGTTCAATTCTGCTGTAGCCAGGTATTGAACTCACAACTTATTGGGTCAAGTCACTGGGTTCAGCCAAAGCTTTTACCAACTGGGCCATATGTCTTTGAGGATACAATCTACCCCGATGGACGAAATAAAGGGGTTCAGTTCGAAATTCTAATTACCTGAAGAAGGACGGAGCGTACAACGGCCGAAACGTCGTGTATATGGCAACGAAGGTGAGGACAACAGCCCGAACAATGTAAATAGTGTAAAAAAATACAATACCTCATTTCAGAAATATAGACAGATCTTGCAAAAATTATTTCTTTATTTTATTTTTTAGTTCAGTTTTTTCTTCTGGATATAGTTTTTGTACCTAAGGAGATAGACACATGAAGGGTTCTTAATGATTTCACTTACTACATCAATTCAGTTACATCTGTCTGCTACTCGGATTCCACGCGGACTGATTACTTGATACGCTCTCCTTTATTCATACCAGGCGTAAGGACGTAGTAGTAGACACCAAATACGTACAAATATTTAACCGAAAAAATGTTCGGCTCTATTCTAAAGTGTTAGAGAAGTGTAACATTCCTAATAACGTAATAATTATATATGCTTAAAACTCAAGCTTGACTTATTAATAATTTTACATACGTTTTTAAATGCTGTGTAATTTTTGTCTTCCTAAATTTTAATTTAATTAGATTTTATTTTAATTTGCTGTCCACTTAGTAATGATATCCTATTTTATTAATAATTTTCAATAAAAACAAGTTTTTATTTTATCCAAAATTGATTAATTAGTAGAATTTGTTCTAATGTGTTCGCTATAATTTGAATCTAATTTGTGCATTTTACCAAATCTTAATTTATGTAGATTTTTAGAGTTTTTCTTCACAAGATATTTACCAACAACCCCACGCGATCATATGCGGCACAAGGCCGAATTTAATGTGGGGTATCCGAGCCCGTAGTCTTGGCCAAAAATTCCCCATCGACCTCTTATAAAACGGGGTAGGGTAGCTGTTTCCCGAGACGAAACTTTGCCCTTCGACATAGCCTCGTCTGGGGATTCTCTCTGCCCCCGGGCAGAGAGTTTGACCAACACATCTGGAGATGACTCTTCAACTGCAAAATAGTTTTTCTTCACAAACTATCAAAAGGCTCACCGGAAAGAGGCTTTTCGCAAACTAAGTAAAGTAATAAGTTATCGTTAGAACTCCGCACAAAAAGTACTATGTCATATCTATCACCCTAAATGATAGAGATTGGGCAATTTCCTCACGGATTCTTGAAGCGACAGAGATGTGGTTCTTCAGACAGATGATGAGAATATTATGGACAGAACACGTGAGCAACCAGAAAGTTTTAAAGGAAATGGAAGCTAGAAGGTATTCATACTTAAAGCCAGAAAGAGACAGCGGAAATGTCTAGGATACTTTATGAGGAAAGAAAGCATGGAAAATTTAACACTCACAGGACATATTGAAGGAAAGTGGAACAGAGAGAACAGTGAGTAATCTAGCTAATGAATCTGTGTGAACAAATGGTAGCACTGGTACAAGGGGGTGGAACTAATGTCAAACACTGCTTAGAGCTACAAGAGACGGGAAGTTGAGGAGAGCCATTTTCACCCACGTCCCAAATATGTCTAGGAAAAGAGTAACTGACTTTTGCAGACTGATTCTTGGACGAAGCTACGTTCTTTTATATAGAGATTTTGTCTTTGACAAAAACGATTTCGTTTTCCTGTTGTTCGTGTCTTCTGTCCATAGTTCCTTCAGGCTTTGCGCGCGTGTCTCGCCCACAGTCTTATAATCATGGCAAAAGGAAAAAAATAATGTATCACAAATTCATAGTTATTTACATTATTTATATTCGGACTATTGACACCATCTTTGTTGTTGTTATCATAACATTTCAATCATTGTGCCATCCGACCTTCGTCAAGTGTATATCGATCTACAGGGAATTTTAAACGGAATCCTTTATTTAATCTACGGGAGTAGACTGTTCTCGTTCCACTGCCCATGTTTAGTTTTTTATTTTTAGTTCAGTTATTGTTCGCCAGTTTGTCCAACTGCCCGACCTACGGATTGACTAACAATCACTATGTCACCAAATCCATAAACAAAATCCACCGTAGGACAATTTGCTGTAATGAACTTGGAGCCTTAAACCTAACCTTGCTGTTGATTAATGCAGTAATTGCTGCTGCTGCTATTGTCTATCCCATACTGTATTTATTTCTCTGCATGGCTTACTAAGGCGGTCTTCATAGACAAGCATATGAGTTGATTCTAGAACTAGATGATATCCATAGACATGAGTAGTGGAACGAGAACAGTCTACTTCCGCAGATTAAATGAAGTGTTCAGTTCAGAACTCCATCAAGATTTGATATACACCCGAGGAAAGCCAGAGGGCACAACGGCTAAAACACTGTGAAAACAACAACAAAGATGAGGACAATAGTCCGGATATAAATCATGTAAATAATAACAACTCCTCATCCCAGAAATTCAGTCAGAGTTAACTAAAATAATGTAAGTACTTAATAATTAATGGTAATCTAATTATACTTAATTAAAATAATCTCTTAGATATTTCTCGTACATTCACCGAAGTTAAGCAACGTCGAATCTGATCAGTACCTGGATGGGTGACCGCTTGGGAATACCAAGTGTTGTAAGCGTGGATGTGCGAGTGGTGTAATGGATAATAACTCGAAATTATTAATCGAGGAGCTGAGTTCTCGTACGATCACCGATGTTAAGCAACGTCGAGCCTAGTCTGTACTTAGATGGGTGACCGCTTGGGAATACCAGGTGGTGAAAGCTTGGATGTGCGGGTGGTGTAATGGATAATAACTTTTCAGATCTCTGGATAATTTATTCAGTTTATTCCGATGAAGGAAGCCATGACCGGAGCAAACATCTTTGAAGCTTTGTTGAAAATAATATCAGAAATGAATTTTGATTTTTTGAAGCTAATTGGCGTCACAATTGATGATGCTCCAGCAATGGTTGCGCTAATGCAAGAATATATGGAAAGCCTTGGAATCACACATAAATTTGTTAAAATTCATTGTATTATTCAACGAGAGACATTATCATGTCAAGTCCTTGAAATTTAATAATGTTATGGTTATTTTTGTGAAGGCCGTGAATGTGATCCTGTCACGTGGATTAAATCATCGTCAATTTAAACAGTTTTTGTGAGATACTGAGTCAGAATACCTTGCTTATTTCTGTGATGTGCGCTGGTTTAGCCGAGGATCAATGCTAAAAAGAGGACTCGCCTTTCACAAAGAGGTGGCGATGTTTCTCGAAAGAAAACGTGTAAATAGTTCACATTTTTTAAATCCTGATTGGCATGCAACTTGTGGATATTGGGACTCATTTAAATAACTTAAATTTACAACTCCAAGGTAAAACTCAGCTCGTAAATAAAATGTATGACCATATGAAAAAAAGCTACAGTTGTTGGCGCATCTAATTCGAAATACAAATTGTGCTCATTTTCCATTATTTCAAGGAAGGAAACCACAGGATTTAAATGTATTTGTGAATATAATCCAGGATTTGAGAAATGAATTTGCGTCACTTTTTGCTAACTCTCGTCTGCATGCAAATCAGTTTAATTTGTTAAATTTGATGTGGGTTTGAAGACGGTATCAGAATGTTTTCAAATGGAATTGATTGATATGCAGTGTAAGGACTTATTGAGATCTAAATTTAATTCTAAAGATGTTTCATTGATTTCTATGCAAAATATTTTTCCAAGTCAGAAGAATACCAACTTATTAAATCATGTAAAACAGATGGCATCTTTGTTTGGAAACATTTATCAGTGCGGGGATTTATTTTACAAATTGAAGCAAACTAAGAACAATTTGAAAAAAAGATTAACTAATAATCATCTTGATAATATCTTACGCTTGGCATCCACAAGTTTAAAGCCTAATATTGAGAAGCTTTCAGGGAACAAAAATATCAACTTTCCCATTAATTTTTTGGATGCTATGTATTTTTAAGATTTTTTAAACAAATGATTTCAACGATGTCTTAAATTGTTTCGATTACTACATTCATTTGCGGTTAATACAAATGATTGTAAACTATAGTCAACAATAGTAATTAAATTTTAGTATATGTAATTTTCCATAATTATTCTTTCATAACCTTCGTACGGCCCGGTATCCGTCATCAATATTCGATCCGGTCCGTGGAGGCCATGAAGTTTTCGACCCCTGGTTTAAAACATTGAAAATGAACTCAAAGAACTGAGACCAGATTCAAGTTCCGGTTGCTTCAATTCCCTTCGTTATTTAAGAAAAACAAATTCGCTGCCGTTTGCGCTCGGTTACTTTTCCTGATATTTTGACAGTGGCATTGACAGTAACATTAAACGATGATTGACGGTAGCGAGGATCGAGTCAGATTAGGGTTACATTGAGAGACTGTTGGGATATTTAATGTCGAAATCAGTATTTTTTTAAAATATACTTGAGTTATATACTTGAGTCTAGGAGGTAAGGTGGAGTAATAGATAGCGGCTCAGATTGAAGAATCGGAGAACCGAGTTCCAATTCCAGTTGAATCCATTTCATTCACTTACATGCTAATACCCTTGGGAAAGGTATGAATCCTCTTCTTCAGCCCCCCCCCTCCGGCTATAGGTAAATAGTAGGACAGACCGGGTTCTATAGCCTTGGATGGCAACAGCAGAAAGAAATGGCAACCTACTGCGGGAAAAAATATGCCTTGTCAGTCATGTATCGAAAGATACATGATCGTGTAAGCGTGTATCACGCTCACACGAGTTTACATGTAAAAATATAGGTTGTATATACATCAGCCTGTAGTTAAATAACCTGGTCGTTTGTATTTGAGTAATGCCGTTTATAAATAAGTATATACTGTTTATACTTGAGACTGTATGTAAATATATCGATCGGTTATAAAGCGGTTTAGTAAATGTATTTACATTAATAAATCCAGGGAAAAACCAATTTCCCATGAAGGAAATGATCATCTGTATGAGGTGAATCGTTTGGATCTCATTAATTGTAATTCACACACACACACACACACACACACACACACACACACACACACACACACACAGAGTCATATATATATATATATATATATATATATATATATATATATATATATATATTGCGTATATCTTGGCAGCATGTTTTCATTAAGACATGTCTCAAATAATTTAGACAAGTTGTGTCTACTTATTTTTAATAGGATCCTCTCGTAATTACGGACAAGTTTCTTAGTATCCTTATTAAAGGAAGAAAGAAAATTACCATGTTGATACATATTCATTTTATTCCGAGTACTTTCGACACAATGTCATCATCAAGGTCTTCTTTTTTCTAAGACAAAATTGTTGTGTTCATCTGAAAATTAAATTTTTACTTGTGAAGTGAAATATGTTCAGGCTAGGTACTGTCTAATTTCTAAAGATATATATTAGGTTGGTGCAAAAATAATTTCGTTTTCTAACATATGTTACTATGTGAGAAAAACGAAATTATATTTGCACCAACCATATATATATATATATATATATATATATATATATATATATATATATATATATATATAGTTGTGTATTTGGGCAGCAGTCTCTGTTTGATACGTATTTTCTATATAATTGTGAAAAAGCTTCATCTCTAAGGAAGTTGGGGAAGAAAGGAAAATGTATTTTTGTGTATCCAATCTGTTATTTTTTCTTTTTTTGTTTATAAAATGTCCTTTTATTCTGTTCTCTCTATAAGTTGGGGGTCGATGAAATTCGGATGAAAAAGGTTTATAGAAGACAGCTGGTGCATATGTTTAGGTTTGAGGTGTGGCTGTTGAATAAGAAAAGTGGCGATCCTTGTGGGTGTCGGTTCGTGGAGAAATCCCAATGTCTGAAACGCTCATGGAGAATGAAATGATAATTGTTAATTTGGAATCATTTTAAAACCGTGAACAAGATCCCAAAGCATACTCGGTATAAGAAAACTGATTGGTTAGAATTTTTCCTTTCTTTGTTTTTTTTTTTTTTTTCGCTTAGGTTTTTTTTGGGGGGGTGCAGGGCAATCGTATGCTAGGATTCATTTTAAGTAATAAAAGGTTTGTTTTTTTTCTGTTGGGCGGGAGACTAATTAATCGTGACTTCCATTACTTTTTCTCCTGCCACAAATTAAAAAAATGAAGTTTTCTTGCACAAAATTTAGCCTAAATATTCAAGCTATTTTAAAAAGATTTTGTTAGCCGGTCTCGTTTAAAACGCTAGCTTTGTTTCAATTGAGAGACTATGAGTCGGGAAGAGATTTCATATATAATACGAACGGACAGAAAAATACTATTTTAGAAAGCATTGCATTTCCTGCAGCGGAATAAACAACTTACTCTTTGCAACGAGATTAATTATAGGTCAACAAAAAAAAAGGGGGGGAAAAACAACAGATAAGAACTAAGTTTCAATTCGGTATTTATTTTGAGTTTGTCCACATGAGCCAGTTAGATGTGTAGCGTCAGACCTTTTCACATCTGGTCGGATCCATTTACAGCAAGCCGCCTAATTAGCTTTACATGTAGACATACTAGAAAAAAAGATGCGGGTCATAAAAATAAGAAACTCAACATGCAGTTTCATTCTTAACGAGAAAGGTAAATATAGATTCCACAAATATGTGGAAAGGCGTGTGTAGATAATTCAGATTAATAGGTATAGTCTCAGAAAATATTCCACATATCGCGTGGCCGAGTGGTTAGAACATTCGCTTTCTGAACATGAGAGCCGGGTTCAGGAGACTTCCTGATGTCATTGGTCTGGAGGGGGGCGATCCCACACGTGGCATCTTTGGAAAGTGCCTGAAAACCATACCACGGGTTGATCCAAGCCTTGTAAGTGAAATTGGGTAAACGGAATCCTTGGTGGGTGTCGATGGCTGTGCCAATACGAAGCCACAAGTCATCGTTTGAGTGTGCTGGCCTTGTTTTTAAGCGTGCTGACCTCGTTCAGATTGTTGATCACACTAGATAACACGCTATCTCCCAGAAACTGTAACTAAGGTCTGCTCAGCATAGTTGCAGTGTAAACCACAGGTGGGCTCTGTGGGTGTTGAACAAACACAAATCTGCCTGAGCGAGCGTCTGCAATAGGGATTGGTTAGCCACCCTAATAGACAGATATCCTCGAATACGTGTGACCAGCTATATATATATATATATATATATATATATATATGTATTTGAAAAAATCACTCTACCTTGGTTTCAAACTTTCAATATCTTAAATAATTTCCTAACGATTTATTATTTAAAAATACATAAATAAACGCACAACGCGAAGCGTAATAGAACAATTTTAGAATTATTCACACACACACACACACACACACACATATATATATATATATATATATATATATATAGTTGTGTATCTGACAACAATCCCCCTTTTAATATATATATCGTTAAACAAGACTGACTATGTGCTTCGGTATTTTTTTATGTTTTTCTTGTATGCGTACAAGTGTTTTCTTTTTTGGGATTTCTTCTTTTATATGCTGTGTCCTTTCGGGACGTAGGTGGTCATGGCCCTCCACATCTTTTTGTTCCTTGTAGCTCTTAATAAGTTTTGTACTTTTTTATTTCTCCCAAATCCTGTTCTACCACCTATTTACTAAATCTCATCAAATACGCTACACGCTGCTTTCCTCTGTCACTCTTTCCCTCAATCTGTCATGTGAACATCAGATTTTCCAACCACTCCTTCCTCATTACGCGCTCCAGAAATTTCAACTGACTTTCCCTGATTCTCC